AGTAGGTGTGAGTAGGTGTAAGTAAGTGTGAGTAGGCGTGAGTAGGCGTGAGTAGGTCTGAGTTTGTGTGAGTACGCATGAGTAGGTGTGAGTAGGCGTGAGTAGGTGTGGGTAGGTGTGCGTAGGTGTGAGTAGGCGTGGACAGGGAGGGACTCACGTCCTGCCAGTGGCGGCAATGGTGGAGAGCAGGCCGTGCAGCAGGCGGCAGAGCATGGCGGCATGGAAGGACGTGCAGAGGCCAAACGCTCCCCCGCACACTATGTTGGCTGCTAGGCCTATCAGCAACACTGGCTTGCGCCCCCAGTGGTCTGACAGGATGCTGTTCAGTGGGGGGAGAGAGATAGGGGCGAGGAGGAGGGAAGGCAGAGGGGGAAGAGGGGGGAAAGTGAGCAAGGAGAGCAGGAGCAGGGGACAGTGTGCTTTCTGCGAGTGCGTGAGTGAGACCAGTTCATCCAGCATAGCATGAGCTGCTCTCACTCGCAGTATGGAAACTGGTGGATGGGTGGGTGAGGTACGAGCACGAGCACGAGCACGAGCACGAGCACAAGTATGTACACGAGGACTGCTTGAATCAGATTAAGTCAAAACCACTCCTCCCCCCACAAGCGAAACCGCCCCCCTCCCCCCCCCCCTGAAACCTCCCCACTTTCCCCTCCCCACCCATTCCCCTTGTTCCATCGTGACCTTGGTCCCTCGTCCCCTTGCCCCCTTGCCCCCGCGTCACCCACCCCCAGAAGGAGCTGCTGAGGAGTGAACCCACGAAGTAGGACGAGCCAAGGTACCCTGCATAGTAGCTGACAGAGGGGCGCACAGGTGCAGAGCGGTGAAGAGCGGCGCGTAGAGGAGAGGTGAGGAGAGGTTAGGTCAGGTGAGGACAGAGGCGCGAGATGAGTGAAGAATGCAAGAGATACTGGGAGAGCACAGGAAATCAGAACAGAATAATGAAGACTGGATCATCTTCCCATGAAGCAAAGATCGTTTCCGATTATATCTTGCCCGATCTTGGTGGGGTCGTGGTGACGTGGAAGCTGGCGACCATGAGCGGCAGAAGGGGAAAGCAGGGTGAGAGATAGCACTAATGCTAGAGATAGCAATTGCTCATGGTGTGGTGTGCTGCTGCCTCTGATTGCCGATGGGTCACTGATATCTCATCTCACCCGAGCTTCGTGGGGTCATCGGTGACGTGGAAGCTGGCGACCATGAGCGGCAGGAAAGGGAAGAGGATAGTCGGCGCGAGCGCGTTCGTGAAATACATGACGCAGATCGCCACCACCGGGCCCCGAGGCAGCGGGTTAGGCTTGGGAGGCTGGCTCGGAGCCATGGCTCGGATCCGCGAGCGGGAACGCCAGGGATGGCGGGTGTAAGGGGTTCGGATTCACCGAGATGGTTGAAAAGCGGTTGTCGCCCGCCGATTGTTTCTTAGAACGTCACAAAAAAAATTGGCGGAAATCTTTCCTCATGAAATCCTAAAGCACTGCTTGAAGTATGTCCCAGGCAACAATGTTCGAGGTCTATCTTCAGAAATCCTACACCGCGCAGGGATTGTTTGATGTTTCGTTGTGAGGATTGAGAAAGCTTGCTACTTCAATAAGCATCGTCTTCATTGCTTGTGGTCAAGTACAGCATTGCCCGTCATATAGATTATTACAATACATATGAATCTAGCATGAAGGGGGGTGGGTGGGAAACTGAACTTGAAATTTCGAAAAATGAAAACGTGGGTGAGGCCAAATGGCCGAAACCCCTTCTTTTGTAGTCGGAGAAGGGCGAGTAGCGCTTCGACGATGGCTTTTTGTGTTGCGTACAAGCTGCTGCGCTTTCACAATAAGTCATTTTAGAAAGTGTAACACTTTCGAAAATATACATTTTGTTAGTGCAAACCTCATCAGGCTCGGCAAGGATTGCGCCAACATAAGGCCAACACTGCTCATACTCACTACAAGAATCTGGGAAATTCATACAAGAGGTCTCTGTAACGAAACAAAAAGGTTACCACAATACACCTGGAGCATCGTGAATTAGACAGACGTGTTATACAAGCGTTACAAAAAAAAAATTACAGCTTCCGCTAAACGCGCTTCAGGGAGTGAAATTGTCATTTTTAGGTACAGTGCCACAAAATTAAAAGCTTCAGTCGTATTTCAGCTAGTGTTCTGGAGTACCTTACATGCTAACACATTCAATATTACGATAAACTACAACTAATGCATTTGAGCAGCGTTTAGTGCACCGTAAAATGTACAAGACAAAACAATATATCCGCGATTGCAGCATGCATTACTTCCACTGAATAATATCTACAACACAACCGGGACCTGCAACATCCTGCCAACACACGCAACAAAGCTAGACAGCATAGAACCACCGTTAGTCAGCATAGGCAACGAGCACCAAAACAGAGCTTACCTAACTTGTTAGGCATTGATGTGACCGAAACCACGGGTTGTTGAAACATGGTAGAAAGGATAGGGGGATCGTAGAATGTTCCTGCACCCAGTGACGCACGTACCTAGCCTAGAAATATACAAGGCGCAGACAAGATGCATATTAGAAATTGCGTCGTTGGCATAAAAATAAACTCACCTCAAAATAACTAGGCAAGAATGAATGAACTAGCAGAAGTTTGGGTACAAATATGAAACCCTAGTTGGGGTTGTACCTCATATTGGCTACCCCACTACAGCCTACCAATATATAACACATTACAATTTAACACACCCCCATAGGCAAAGTGG